TACCCAGAAGAGACTAGACTGCTATTAAGCGGTTAAGGTAGAAGATCTCAAATCATTAGCTTCGGTGAACAAGATCAAATAGCTCCTCTTTCAGGTTATAAACTAGAACTTGCACGAGGTATCAAATGTATCAACACTTGATTTCACCAACAAATATGTATAGTTGTAGATTCCGCGAATCTTTTATGTTCTACCCAATAGGCCCCGCTTGCCCAAGCCCAAAGGCCAGTTTGAAGAAGGTCCGTGAAAAGTAAACGAAACTGCCGTGTTCTAAGGGCCGGGACAGGCTAGGCAATTAACCCCAGAGAACCAAGGAATGGAAGCAGAAGAAGCATTATAAGCTGACGGCTTTACTCATCCTTGGTTGCTGCCTCGTCGCCGAAGCGAGTAGAGAGAACATAAGAGTATATCACACTCACTTCATCTAAATCATTTTTTTAACAAAAAAATCTAAAATAAAGAAAGATTCCCTGCTGTCTATCTGTCCCGCCATAGGTTTTTCTAAGGCTCAAAGTCCAGAGTTCTTTGACGCTCATGGACGGTCTGTGAAGGGTCTGGGAGGTTACCAATACCGAGCCCCTTCCTGCCCGAGGCTGTTCCATACCCCGGAAAAATGAGTGGTACAGATTCCTTCCAATAGGAGAGGTTCTTAGTTCTCAACCACCACCGGTAGTAAATTCCTAGAGATAGAACCAGATCGTACAACTTTCACATTCAAGCAAAAGGAATGAGATTAACATCCCTACTTCTTTGGTTTAAAGTCTCTACTCGGGAAGTCAGGCGAAGGAAAAAGACCCTTTGGCTTGAGGTGGTGAGTAGAAAGGGGTCGATTATCTATCTATGACGCATCAAATCGACTGAGATCAAGAAATCCTGAGTAACGAGATCTATTCTTCACACGAATCAACGAACGACTCGTCAGATTCGAACTGACATAGGTTTTTGACCTATCTTCTACCAAAAAGGAGCCGCTTTGGTGACGCGGTTCGGGCGGGGGGGCCTGACATCCGCGGGTTCCATGTCAAGAGAGAAGGACGGGACGGGAGAGGCATTTTCGGGGACTAGCAGCTGTTCTAGATGTGGACACCTTTTAGGATTGTTTACATGTTTTGCGTGAGTGTCACTTTGCTAAATTGATCTGGAACATCTTTATTCCCACTGAGCATCAAAGTGCCTTCTACTCCTTGGCATTCACGGATTGGTTATGCAGCAATGCTTCTTGTAAAGATCTTAAGTTTGGTTTTGATTGCCAGTGGCGTACGACCTTATGTGCGATAGCATGGAATATTTGGGTTTGGAGGTGTCGAGCTGTTTTTGATGGAGACTTTATTCTCCCTCATGATCCTAACCGGAGGATTGCTAACGATGTTTAAATTGCTGTCTCTGCTTTCTATTCGAAGAAAACGGAGCCAAGTATGCAGGTAACCAAGTTTCTTGCTTGGGAATTTCCTTCCGTTCAAATAAAAAAAAAATAGGGATGGTGCTTCTAAGAGGAACAAAGACTTGCATGGTGCTGCCACGGGACATTCGTCGGGGTGCTGGTGGCCTTCCCCGAGACTGTTCAGGAACATCTTGATGTGGGTATACCTGAAAAATTCCTCAACCTTCGCCCAGAAATGAAAGAACTTAAAGGGTATATTGACCTTTCTAAACTAAATGCTAGATCTAACAATACAAGGGCAATGATCAGAAATGCCTCTAGGCAAAAATGCCGCTTCAGTAATAGCCTATCTTTTCTCTAGCCTGGAGCCGGCACTCCTAAACCTAAAGCAGTTAGCAAGCAGTTAACCATCTTTCTCAATATCCTCTACGCCTACTTCTCTTCCGAATCCAAGACTTGTTTCAAACTTTAAAGCAGTCAATCAAGCAGCACTTACCGCTATTCCATATATAGCATAGAGCTCTTACACAGCGCCTAATAGGCTAGCTGAACTATAAAGGCTGGATTTCCCCGATGGAGAGGCAACCAAAAGGCTGTGCTCAGTCTTTTCAGAATCGGATTGGACTGGAGAAAAGAAAGCAATTCATGCAGAATCGGACTGGAGAATGCGATTCATGCAGAATCGGATTGGACTGGAGAATGCCATTAATTGCTATATGAAGTGGAATAGCCAGATGCGAACTGGTGTTACCAGCACAGGATGCAAATAGGTTGCCCAGACGAGGTCTTTCATCCACTAGTACGAGGAAGGTTAAGGAGCTAGGTGCTTTAAGGCTAGCGGAAGGATGTTCTTCCCAAGAGTGGTACTCAGAAGAAGAAAAGGTTGTTGTTCCCGCAGCACTCATTGATACTGAAAAGTGGTCGTGAAAGGAGACTGCTTTTGCTTTGAATGCTTACCCAAGCTCTTGGACAGACTCGGCTGTGAACAAATCCTCTCTTAGAGAATCGACCGTTCACTCATGCTTTGGACGAGAGAAAGTCTGATTAGTCTTCCGCTTGAACGGTGATATCTATAATAAAGAATACCTGTCTCAAGGTAAACAGGAGTTCCCGGCTCAAGCTAAATGATACCGGCGCAAGGTAAGTAAATTCTTTAGTTTAGGGAAGGATCCCAAGTGCCATCGATTTAGCTCTTGGAAGAAGGGAAATTCAATTTTGAAGAGTGGGCATAAATAAGAGATCTTCTCTCTTTCCCGTGCTTTAGGAAGCGAGTGACTCCCGGTCTTATTTAAAGAGAGTGAAATGAGCCAGTAGCTCTGGGAAAGAAGGAAGAGAAAGGGAAGGAATCACTATAGTTACTCAAAAAAAAGGTTCGGAATCGAATCCGCTCAAGCTGTGAACAAAGAAGAAGCTCTTGCCACTGTCGGTCTAAGCGCAGTTGGAGGAAGGGGAGATGGGATGAGTGAGGGTTCAATTCTTTTCCGGAAAGAAAGGTAAGGTGCGGAGCGGCAATCAAGATGGCAAGGAAAGTAATTGATAGAAAGATTGCTACTAACGCTTCGCTAATGAGAGTTGGGAGTTGGCTTACGTTCCTCTGTTAAATAGCTCCGATTCTATCCGAATAAGGGATAAATAGAAAGAACTGGGTAAGGCTGAACTCTTCTTTTCTGGTAGTTGTAATGCTAAAGTATATTTTTCCTCGGTAAGCATTATCCGTGAAATGACTCATTTCCATTACTGTTTTCACTCCAAAAGAAAGAGAAAGACTCGGGGAAGGGCGGACTGGCGGGAAGGGTGGTACTAAATTGAATTGAGTCCCGATATCCTTCGAAAGTACCTTTTGATAACCTTTTCTCATGCAGAACAGAGAAAGGTTAGTCAGACTGAGGGCGGAAAAAGAAGACGTTTTACTTTTTTTTTGTTTCATATGCTCTTGCGATGCGTACCTGATACAGAGAAATCTTTGCCGCAGCACGAAGCCGTAGTTCATCCAAAGACTACAATTCCATACGTGACAGACAGAATTCAGGAAAGCTTTAAAGGTAACAAGGTAGTTATGAAGTCAACAGAGATGCGCGGGTTCCATTCCCTCTGTCCGGAGGGCTTTCGCTTTATATAGAAGCCCCTCAGCACCCGTACAATCAAAAAAATGGAAATTGAATTCAGTGATTGAGATAGCGACAAGTTAAAGCTGAGAGGACGCACCCATTCCCGAAATCCACTTTAATTAAAGCCTTTTCGAAGGCGCGAAAGTTCGCATTTTATCTTTTCTTCAAGCTTTCGCTTGTATTTTCATAGACTAAGTTTAGTAATCACTCTCTAGTAAAGGCACTCGATTAGCTGGAAAAAGCGCTCTTCTTTCCATTTTATGTGATTTGAAGATAGATATAGATAGAACTCGATCGAACTAAATGCTTTTCGTCTTATCGTATATAAGAGAAAGGTTGCTTTTAGGAGTGACCTTTCTCGATTTCAACAAAACAAGCCGATGGTGATCTCACTTTCGAAAGAGAATAGAAAGCGTACTGACTCTGACTGCTATCTACGATGCGATCAGGGGGGAATAGCGCAAGGGCTTAAGTCATCGATTCAAATCCTATCTTTTTTTCGGTATGCCGCTCCGCGAGCAAGGAGCGAATGACAAAGATATATAATAAAATCATGGCTTCCTTTTTGGTTTCATTTTAAGTCCTTCTTATTTTTACTATTTTAGCAACTTTGCTAGAAGTAAAGCTTCTCAAGTGGTGTTTTCAATTCTTTTATTATTTAGTGTTCGATTTAGACTTAAACATCCACGATGATCTCCTGTTATTACTTGTCTTGGTTTTGGTTTTCGTCTCACGGATCTTGGTTCGCGCTTTATGGCATTTCCACTATAATAAGTGTAGGAATTCATGGGTACCTGGGATCACTTGGACCATTTCCACTCTGTGTTGTCTTCTTGACCTTTGCTCTGAGTGGTTGGTCGAACACGCAGAATGTGCAGGAGAGGAGGGTTCCTCAAATGCCCAACTCGATTTGGACTTAACTCTGCGTCCGCCGGGACCAACAGCAGAGGAAATAGAAAGGGAGCTTTCCTCTTTTCTTTCTTCCTTTGGAAATAGGGGAGTGACCTCAAGTGTACTCCAAAATACTAAGATTAAGCTACAATTGGATGTCGCGTCCCCCGCGAAGCTTTTGAAGATCCGGGAACTTCTGCGGGATCTCCAAAGCAGACCGGTTCCTGCTTTCCAAGCGAGAGATGCTTTATTGAAAGCTCTCGCCCGACGGGAGAGGGACCAGACGCGTGATCCATGAGGTTGGCCGCCCAGCGTCGGCTCTACGAACTAACAAGGGGTCGGTCGCGAGAGAGAGAAGGGGTGGTCCGGCGGGTAGGGGGGGCTCGTCAGGGGGAGCAAATCGATAAGTCCTTCGAAAGATAGGGCTTCCCGGAGAATTTGGTGTCTTTCTATTTGGAAACAAAGGACCATAAGTCTAATTAGACACTTCGTCTTTATTGTTCCACTAGCTAGGATAAAATTCTAAGATGTCCCTTGCATTATTACAACCTTCTTTTTTGATGTCAAAGACCAGAAGCTACGCGAAAATTTTCATTGGATCTCGGTTGTTCTTAACAGCGATGGCTATTCATTTAAGTCTTCGGGTAGCACCACTAGACCTTCAACAAGGTGGAAATTCTCGTATTCCTTATGTACACGTTCCTGCGGCTCGGATGAGTATTCTTGTTTATATCGCTACGGCTATAAACACGTTCTTGTTCCTATTAACAAAACATCCCCTCTTTCTTCGCTCTTTCGGAACCGGTACAGAAATGGGTGCTTTTTCTACGTTGTTTACCTTAGTTACTGGGGGGTTTCGGGGAAGACCTATGTGGGGCACCTTTTGGGTGTGGGATGCTCGTTTAACCTCTGTATTAATCTCGTTCCTTATTTACATGGGTGCACTGCGTTTTCAAAAGCTTCCTATCGAACCGGCTCCTATTTCAATCCGTGCTGGACCGATCGATATACCAATAATCAAGTCTTCAGTCAACTGGTGGAATACATCGCATCAACCTGGGAGCATTAGCCGATATGGTACATCAATACATGTTCCTATGCCCATTCCAATCTTGTCTAACTTTGCTAACTCCCCCTTCTCAACCCGTATCTTGTTCGTTCTGGAAACACGTCTTCTTATTCCATCTTTTCTCGAATCTCCTTTAACGGAAGAAATAGAAGCTCAAGAAGGAATACCAAAACCTAGTTCACTCGCTGAGTCTCTTTGCATCCATGGCTGAATGGTTAAAGCGCCCAACCGGGCAAATTCGTAGGTTCGATTCCTGCTGGATGCACTTTTTACGTTCAGTTCAATCGCTGCTCACGGAATTGATACATATAGCTCGCCCTTATAGCTTATGGGGCACTTCACTCGCTCAACACTCGTTCAAAACATCCACTCTTTCTTCACTCGCTAGGGAAAGATAAAGGATAGATGACTTAAAATCCCGCTTAGAGATCGCAAAACTATAGTCAGAGTAGGAGTTCCCATCCGTCGAGGCCTCGTTTTACCCGCCCTTGGGACTGGAACTGATTGGTTGCTTGTTGTGACAGCCAAGGTCTGAACATTGTCCCACTTCCCTCATCGGGTTCCTCTCTGTTCATCATGGGGTTGTTGGGATAAAGGTGGGTTTGAGACGCGCGGGTACTCTTGATGCGAAAGGATATGGATCTAGAAGCCGAGATCAAAGCGTTAGTTCAAGATAAGAGCCCTTACGAACCAAGGCTTCTAAAGTTGCCGGAGGGTCCATCATCAAGAATGGCCTAAGATGGTCAGAAGCATTCCTAACAATGCTAGCCACAGCGGAATACTCCGGCAAAACGGGTCGCCATTTCGCGGAATCGAACGCCCTAAGAGGAAGATTTCATTTTATTTCTGTTTCGTGGAACGAAGTTGATCCATGGTCATCGGGATGTCTATGTTGAAAGAGAACCTAACCTGAAGAGTCATTGGTTTTCCAGGTCGGAAAATGAAGTAAACAACTCAGGTGGACAAGAGGCGAACCACTCAGCTGATGAGTCAGCTATACTTTTTCAAAATAGCCTAATGAGGAGACGATCATAACCTCTGAGCTCAAAGATGGAAAGCAGATTCCTTTTTTCAGGTTTTGCATAGCTTCCCAAGCGCCCGGCTTTCTTTTTGGGTTCCGAGAGGCAGAGTAGCTTCAGCATTAGGGTATGGGATAGAGTTCGAGTGAGGCATCAACCATAGATTGCGGAACTTTCGAGATGCTTCCTTGCGAAAGCCAACGGAGTCTGTACTGTAACTCAACCTTCTCATCCATGGAAGGATTCCTTATTCGATGATAAATGTCAATCGAGGGCACCCTCATTTCCAGAGAGAGAATCAGGCTGCACAGAAGGGGGAAAGCCCTCCTACTGAGCAAGATCATTAATTAATATTAATAAGGAAGCACTTAACTTAGGGCAGCCAGTCTCACTTCACACAGCACAGCGCCTTGCTATTTGCATTCATCCTTGTAACTTACCGAAGCGAGGATCTCATGCTATCATTGAACGGCTACCGAACCGCCATACTCAGGTAACCGGTCTAGGTTCCAAGTACATCAACACCCCATAGCTACTTAGGGCCGCAACGCAATAAGGCTTTTCGCTCTAGTTGGGCAATGCAAGGAGGCCTCTTTCGCCATTCTTTCTAAATGAGAAACTTTTATTAGTTCAGTTCGGTATAACATCGATGAGAGGATAATTTTTTAACAGAAGCATATGATTGCCCCTCAATCGCCAGGTGGCTCGCTCCAGGTGCATGAGCTCTTATAGCGGCCTCTTTCAGTGGTTCTTGCTTGCTCTTTAAAGCTGATCTGGTGCTGTCTCGTTCCTTCAGTTTGTTCTGATTCCGATGAAGGATACTATATTCCGCCTACACAACTACCTTGCTTGGTGGTTCAAAATGGAAGTCTAGGTATCTGCTTAAGTGGTCTGCTCGTACCGTTCCAAAAAGAGCTGCGCTGACAGGCGTATTTTAAAATGTGTTTCCGGGCTCACATATCTAAATTTCAGCGAGATAGGGTGCGGATAGGTGGAATGGAAATTCCACTCCAATCCCTTTAATGGATCCCCGAAGGAGACGGGTGCAAATGGAATTTCAATCAAAGGCGCTATGACCACTGAGCATGCCAACAAGGCAAACTCATAAAATCGTCTCCTGTCCCAGGTCACTGAAAGGGAGATACTCGCAGCCGAGCTCTCGTCCCACTCCCGCTGCCAACTTCGTGATAGAACGACCATGCGAAGGGATACGGATAGGCTGCCCTCCCACACTTAAGGCATTGTGTTACACCTTAAATGTCTGGATTTAGCGTTATTGTCAAGCATCTCATTCACTACTAAAAGAAAGGTATGGATATTCTGCTCGAAAGCTTGACGAAGAAGCGTAAGCAAAAAGCATATTTTAGGAAAGAGGTCCAGGTAGCTCAGCTGGTTACAGCTAATGAATGAAAAAACGTGTGTGCCGATTTAGATTTCCCGTCTTAAGCCCCACCTCGGTAGCTCAGCGGTAGAGCGGCCTCTTGTATAGTTCAACAGGTAGTCGGACGTGGGTTCAAATCCCGGGAAAAAACAGAGAGAGCAGCGAAGGGGCCTTTCCTCGCTTCTGTCTTTTTTTTTATAGATCAGTTCAGTCTGTAAACAAGCAGGTGATTTTTAGCCGGGAAACTGTAAACTTTCGAAAGCAAGCTCACCCACTCTCCCCCAGTGGTTAAACTCTAGGATCTGATTTGAATTCCATATTAAAGAAAAGTAGACATCTGCGGCCTAAAACTACACGAGTGGATAGATTTACGGCTACTACTTCCCGATCTTTGTGAACGTTCACTTCAATAGGATATCTCGTTTTACTAGCTCGACTATAGAGAGAGGAACTAATGGTAACGAGCCAGACCAGATGATCTTCAAAGACATCCTTCACCGATCGATTAGATGAGAGAGGTCATTCAGTGTAAGACCTGAGGTAGACGAACGGTTCACTGTCAGTGGTTCCATACGTCAATCCCATCCTGAAGGAGCTAATGAAAGCCTGAATTCAATATGAAAGTGGGCTCTTCCTCTTCGATTCAAGCAAGTCGACCATTGAATCTATTAAACTGGGCCGCTTCTTCCCCCTCCGCAGGAAGACTTCCTTCTTTCCCTTGCCTGGCTGGTTATCTCAAACCGGCATTCGAACCCACAAAGCCTAGCCGCACCGCCATTGTGCTATTAGCCCTACGCCTAGAAAGCCTCAGTTACAGACTGAACTTACCTATAGGAGGAGGTTTGATTCCATTGCCATTTACTGTTCCATGCGATCTTTACACCGACACCCCCATCTATCCAAGCCTAGTAAAAGGAGAATCAGCTGAAAGAAGAGAGAGCCCCCTTCCCGTTGTTGTCTCTAACTAAACCACCACCAGTACACTCTTCCACTACAGATGCTGAAAACCCGATTCCTTCCCAGGCTTTTCTCTTCTCCCTGACTTGCTAGTACTCAACCTAGAGATGAAAGAAGTAAGAGCCCCCTCTTGTCGCAAAATAGTAAATTAGGTTCAGTTGGAAAAACAGCTATAAATGACCACTACGAACGAAGGATGCAAGTCCTCTCAACAAACTCCATATCTGCAGAAAAAATGCCACTATTCTCAATTCAATATAGTAAGGCGTTTCTAATCTTCCTCGCAGCAAGACTTCTGAAAGCCAGTTGCTAAGAAAAAGATTAGAACAAGAGGGCTCTGGCGATTTCGGAACTAGCTTGACTCATTCCACCCGGGGTGAACGAGAACTAGTTCATCACCAACATGCTTAACTCCTAGGACTTTTGGGATTTAATACTCTTACTCTTTTTGACCAAAAGATGGTGAAGAGAGGAGCTAGATAGAAGTAGTTTTTAATGAGGAGAGGGAAATCTGGCCATTAGTTAAGTCATTTTTTGTTTGGTCATAAGTTGGTTAGAGAAAAGTAATTAGTTCAGTTTTAGGCATACACTAATAGTAGGTTACGATTCAAAAGAAAGAGAGATTCAAGCCAATCGACCGGCTAAGAGGACTATTCAAATTCTAAAGTAGATGTTCATGCTCATATAGCTGCAAAATGACACTTGACCTATTTCCCTTATAGACAGACATGGAAATTAGAAAGTGTCTATCTTATATAGCTGTCAAATGAGACTTTCACTTTTCCCTTCGTAGAGCAGATCATGAATTGAAAAAGTTCTATCTGGGCAAAATGCTAATTTTTTATAGATTTCCGGGCACCAATCCCGACTTCTCCCGTTGCTATAGTATAATAAGAGATAGGCGCCTACCTTAAAGTCACCTATCGACACTCAAGCCTGTTCATCCTGCTTTCTTTCCTTTATAAGACTGGAAGAGATAGAAGGCTCTCCTGTCTTTGCCCATTGATAGATATGCCTGAAGTACCGGAACTCTCTCCCTTAGGGCTCTCTTTCCGTAAGCCGGTGAGGAGTGAGGGATCTACTGAGACTGAGCCATCTTCGCTAGCCGATCTGTCAGTTCTATAGGGTATGAAGCTCTTTCCTAGTATTGGGTTCAGGAATTCATGCTCGCAGGTAAAGAGACTAAAGAAACAAGAACATAAACAGTCTCTTGAAAGAGGGGAGCATTTGCCCACTCTGTGGTACATGAGCTCCTCGTCCAACTTACTGTCTTCCGATTTCATATCAGTTACAAGCTTGTCATTTCAATCACTTGCTACCTTTAAAGGAAAGCAGTTCGCCCATTGAATCGATTAATCTAAGTCCCCTTCCTATAGAGTGAACGTGAAAGCCGGTCTATAGTCCACCATGCTAATGGAATGTCAGTGACACAAGTAGTAAATTCATTCGTTGACAGGAGCGAGCAGAAAGAGAGAGCGTAAAGAGGGTCTTATCATGATGGCCTGCTTTCCTTTCTCCTGTTGCAGTAGACTACAGTCTTACCACTAGAATAGAAAATAGGTCCAAAAGCAGGAAGCACAGTCAGGAAGGTAAGTTAGAACTCTTTTCTGAATTCCTATCTATAAAGTCAGGCTTGTCTATACAATACAACAAAGTGAGGTAAAATCATTAGTTAGGCTAGTGGGAAAAAATTACTCTGTTTCCGTCTTTTGAAAGAAGTAAGGTGTTCTTCCTTCATCCTCCATCCACACTACGAGGGCCGGCCGGAATATGTTTGGCTGTTCAATAGCCAATTCCATTTCGGTTCATTTTGGTATGCTGGGAAGATGAAGAGATGAACTTTAGAATTCAGTT